ACCCCCGTCCCCCCCCGTCCCCGGTACCTGCTTGCTGCGCTTGCGGGCCTCCTCCAGCGCGGCCCCGCGCTCGGCCGCCCTGCGCAGCACCCTGCCCAGCCGCTCCCGCGCCGCCAGCACCAGGCTCTGGATGACGGCCCCGTCCTGCTTCCTGCTGAAGTCCTGCAGCCGCGACGCCACCGCCTCCAGCCCGGCCAGCTTCTCCCCGCGGGCATTCGCCTCCTTCACCAGGGCCTGCGGACAGCGGGGGTGGCTGGGGGGAGGACGTGGGGGGTGGCCCCCGGGTGGGAGTGGACCCTCGGCAGCTCGCTCAGAGAGACACCCCCCATAGGACAGGAGGAATGGTTTGGGTGGGAAGGGATCTTAAAGCCATTTCTTAAAGTGCCACCCCCTGCCCTGGGCAGGGACACCTCCCACCACACCAGGTTGCTCCAAGCCCCCTGTAACAGGCCCTTGAACCCCTCCAGGGATGGGGCAGCCACATCTTCTCTGGGCAACCTGGGCCAGGCTCTCACCACCCTCACACCAAAGAATTTCCTCCCCAGATCTCACCTCAATCTCCCCTTTTTCAGCTTAAAACCCTTCCCCCTCGTCCTAGGGCTCCCCTCCCTGATCCAGAGTCCCTCCCCAGCTTTCCTGGAGCCCCTTGAGGGACTGGAAGGGGCTCCAAGGTCTCCCCGGAGCCTTCTCTTCTCCAGGCTGAACCCCCCCAACTCTCTCAGCCCCCCTCCCAGCAGAGGGGCTCCAGCCCTCCCAGCATCTCCGTGTCCATCCACATCTCCACCACCCCAGCCCCATAGAATCATCCCCGGCATCGGCTGGTGCCGGGACATGCCGGGACGATGCCAGCACTTGCCTTGTGCTCCTGGATCTGTGCGGTGACGGTGTCCAGGACGAAGCTGGGGGGCGCGGGGGAGCCCAGCAGCTCCTCGGCCTCAGCCACCCAGCGCAGCAGCTCCTGCACGGTGCCGTGGAACTCGGTGGTCACCGTCAGCCCCTCGGCCAGGAGCTCCTGCGGGACGGGGGGGCAAGTGCTGACGGGGACGGGCACCCCCGGGCTCCCTGCAGTCAGGGCAGGGCTGGACCCCCCCGGAGGGCAGCGTGTCCCCCCCCCGCCCCACACACCTTCTTCTCCTGGGCCTCGGCGTGGACGCTCTCCCACTTCTGCTCCAGCATGCGGAGGCTGTGCTCGGTGCTGCAGGGCCGGCCGGCGCGGCAGGAGGCAAGTAGCCGCTGCAGCCGCTCCCGCAGCCCGCTGTACGCCTCCTGCTTGGACTCCAGCTCCTTGCACAGCTCCTGCCAGGGGGACGTGGGGAGACCTGGGGTCACCACCCCACAGGGGGACAGGGATGGGGATGGGACTGGGATGGGATAGGGATGGGATGGGGAGGGGATGGGGATGGGGACAGGGACAGGAGGGAGATGGGATGGGGAAGGCTCCAACTCTGTCCTGGGAGAGCCAGACGGGTGCAGAAGAGCTCTGCCCCGTCAGGAGAAGCCAGAGAGGGGTCCCAGCACCTCCACGTAGAGAGGATTTGGGGCACACACCCCAAGGGACACTCAGTGACATCCCTGCAGCGGTGGCACAGACACAGTGCTCACCAGGTGGGCGGCCAGCGTCTCTTTGGTGGTGTCAGGATGGCCCCAGGCCGGCTTGGAGAAGAAGAGCTGCAGCTCCACCTGCTCCAGCCACTGCAGCAGCTCCGTCATCTCCAGCGTGATGTCCTGCACCTGGGGACGGTACCGGGGGGCTCAGTGCTATCCCGGCCACCACCAGCCTGGCGGTGGGCTCCCCTGTCTCATACCCCATACCTGGCTGAGGTTGTTCTCCAGCTCCAGCTGGCGGCTCTCGGTCTCGCTGCGCACCAAGTCCCAGCGCTGGCCCAGCTGCTGGAGGCTGCGCTGCAGCCCCTCCACGCTCTCCCCCCCCAGGCTGGAGAGCAGCAAACCCTGCCCGGCCTCCGTCACTGACTGCACCGTGTGTGCGTGGGACATCACGTCGTTACGCAGCACCTGGGGGACACGGGTGACAGCGTCACCCCCAGCACCCCCACCCGACGGCACTCCACGTCCCCACAGAATCCCAGAATGATGTGGGGTGGGAAGGGACCTCTGGAGATCATCTCCTCCAACCCCCACCCAGAGCAGGGGCACCCAGAGCAGGTCCCACAGGAACGGGTCCAGGGGGGTGGGAATGTCTCCAGAGAAGGAGACTCCAGCCCCTCTCTGGGCAGCCTCTGCCAGGGCTCTGCCACCCTCACCCCAAACAAGCTCCTCCTCAGCTTGAGGTGGAACTTCCCCTGTCCCAGTTGGGGCCCGGTCCCTCTCCTCCTGGCCCTGGGCACCACTGCAAAAAGCCTGGCCCCATCCTCCTGACACCCCCCCTTCCAGTCTTTAGAGGCCTTGAGCAGACCCCCCCTCAGCCTTCTCTTCTCCACACTCAACAGCCCCAAGTCCCTCAGCCTTTCCTCAGCACAGAGATGCTCCAGGCCCAAAAGCATCTTTGGAGCCCTTTGCTGGACCCTCTCCAGCAGTTCCCTGTCCTTCTGGAACTGGGGAGCCCACAACTGGTCCCAGAGCTCCAGCTGGGGCCTCCCCAGGGCAGAGCAGAGGGGAGGGTGACCTCCCTGGAGGTTCTCCATGCTCTTCCTGATGCCCCCCAGGATGCCATTGGCCTTCTTGGCCACCAGGGCCCATTGCTGGCCCATGGGCATCCTGGTGCCCACCAGCACTCCCAGTTGTGCCAAGCCCCTCACCCCACACCAACACAGCCGGAGTCTGGGGAGTGATGTGCTGGGGGGACACGGCAGCCGGGGATGCCCTGATGTGGGCACCATGGCTCTGGTGCTCAGCGTGGCACGTGTGAGGCACCAAATTTGCTGCCTCACGGGAGGGAGGTTGCCAGGACGGGCACAAAGGAGAGCGGGGGCCACGGGGCCGGTCCCCACCTCTCCTGCGTCAGAGATGTGGCTAAAACATGCCCGGGCAAGGGGACGCGGGGCAGGGAGACAGCTCATCCCTTCCATGCTGTCACCGCGGGAGGGGACGTGTTCTCACGCCGCCCGCCCCGAGCTGCAGCCTGTCCCACCCGGCCGTGGCGCCTGGGGCTCCGTGGCGGGGCGGGGAGGGGGCCGGGCCAGGTGCCCCCAGCAAGGCTGCATGTCCCCCCCACTGCCGGGGGGGTCCCTGAGCCGCTGCCGCCCTCACCTTGTGCTTGGCCAGCTCGATCTCGCAGCTCTGCAGGTCGGGGCGCAGCATGGCGGGGCCCTGCAGCTGCTCGGCGGCGCGGCGCAGCCACTGCAGCAGCTCCTCCAGCTGGTGGTGGAACTGCCCCAGCCCCAGCAGCGCCGCCTCCAGCTGGTGCTGCCACCCACCAACCGGGCACACGTCGGGGGGCAGCACCGGCAGCACCCACCGGGCACCCTGCGACCCCCCATGCAGCCGCACCATGCACCCTGCACCCACCCGGCACCCCATGGACCCCACAGACCCAGCACCCCATGGACCCAACACCCACCCAACACCCACCCGGCACCCCATGGACCCCACAAACCCCACAGACCCTGCACCCACCCACAACCCCACAGATCTGGCACCTCCATGGCACCCCATGTACTTGCATGGCACCCCACACACCCAGTATCCCCCTGGCACCCCACGCACCCACACAGCCCACACAGCCCCCACAGACCCTCCGACCCACAGGGTCCCCAAGCGCCCAGCACCCTCCTGGCACCCCATGTACCCACCTGGCACCCCATGGATCCCACGGACCCAGAACCCACCCAGCACCCCATGCACCCTCACAGCCCCCACAGCCCCAGCACCCCTGGCCCCTGGCACCCACCCTGCGGTGGCCCTTGCCCCGTGCCCATGGCAGCCCCCTCCCAGCAGCCCCCAGGCCCCTCCCTACCTGGCGGCCAACAATCTCCTCCTCCAGCCGGTCCCAGCGCTGGCGGAAGTCGCTGAGGGGGGCCGGGGGGTCCCCCTGCCCCGCACCCCCTGGGCTGCCCTGGTGCCGCAGGCTCTCCACGTCCACCTTGCACTGGTAGAGCTCCCTCTTGAACTCCTGCCGGGCAGCGGGGAGACGGGGGTCTGATGTGCCACCATGGCATGGCACAGGACATTATGGCACGGCACGGCACAGTGCGGTATGTCCCAGGACAGCACGGCATGGCAGAGCTGGGTCTGGTTTATCACAGCACAGCACAGCCCGGCACAGCTCGGCACGGGCACCTGTCCCCAAGCTCCTCCTGGTGGGGCGCAGGGAGCCCCGCACGCTCCAGGAATGATTTGGCCACCCCAGACCCATCGTGAGCGGGTGCTGTGGGGACACCAGCCCCGTCCAACGTGCCACCCTT